TGTGATCACAACTCACCATAGCCTCAATCTCCCGGGCTCAGGTAATTCTCCCAACTCAGCCTCCCAAGTAGCTGGGACTAAAGGCATGCACCACCACATCCAGCCAGTTTTTGAATTTTTTGTAAAGATAGTGTTTTGCCATGTTGCCCAGGCTTGTTTTGAACTCCTAACCTCATCAATTCACCTGCCTAGGCCTCCCAAAGTATTGAGATTACAGGTGTGAGCCACTGTGTCTGGCCTTCAAGCACCTTTTAAGTGAATCATTAATCCATTAATCATTCAGCTACCCAGCCAAATGCCTGGGATTTCCTCAGCACAACCATTTACTTGTCCACTCATTGTACAACTATCATCATCTCAAAACTCACAAATGCAATTGCTTAACTACTCCCCAACCTGTTGATTAATTTTGTCAACCCACATGCCAACTCATTTATTTCCCTACTATCCCTTACTTAGTTACAAAATCTTCTTTACTTACCCAGTGTAACATCACTACTTCATTCCATCATGTTATCATAGCTTCGGATATTATAGCACTGAGTGACTCTGACAAAAGTTCTGTAATATTCCAGGCAATAAGGAGAAAAAGTAGATATTCTTCTCATCCTTCTCCCCAGTTTCTAAATACCCATAGAATTGAAATAATTAGTTGTATAGTTTTTTTGAGTCATATTGGAAAAATTCCATTGCTGTAGAAATTCAGCTGAAAATTAGCACACATTTACCCACTTATACTTTAGCTGTTAAAACAGACCTTAAGTTTCTTCTAGTCTAGAGTCTATATAGATTATAAAAAGCTGTAGAAACTGCTTTCATTCTAAATAGGAAAAGGCCAGATAATCTACAAAATCATAACTATTTCTGAACTCATTAGCTAAAGTTGCAGGATATCTATAAGCATGAAAACTCAAGAAAGATAGATACCTCCAAAAAGACATGGGAAATGAGCTCTGCCTTATGTAGGCCAAAGCATGGGAGGAAAGTGAGGCCAACATACAAGCCAGGAGGAATTTATTTGCTAAAATGCTGAAACTGAGTGTCAAGTACTATGAGTATAGAGTGGGAGGAGCCACAAATAAAAAAGGAGTTCATACTTATACTCAAGATTTTCTCCTCAGACTTTTACACAGTTCTTAACAAGAATATTTGGAGGAGGGTGGAAAACCAGAAAAAGCTTCCTTCATCGTGCACATCAAGGGAAAGACAGCAACATGTACTATGGGAGGTAGAAAACACCCTCCCTCCTACGAAGTCTGTCTCCCTTGGTGAAAAAAACACTGAGCCACTAGAGAAAGAGCATAAAACTCTGTTCTTTCCTAGAGAAAGAAGAAGAGTCATTGCTGAGGAAGAAAACCGAAAAAAGTTGCTAGTCCTGGAGTTTCTGTGGCTCAGGAAACCAGTCCACGTTCAGAGCATGGTCTGTCTCGTAAGGCTGAAGATGAGACAAGATCAGCAAGAAAGCCACTATATCTAGTAGATAAATTGAATCAATAAGCAATAATATTGTTAAACAAAAAGCACCATGCCTAGTTGAGTTTACTGGTGACTACTACCAAACATTTAAGGAAGAAAATATACCAATTCTCTGCAATTGCTTTCAGAAGATACAAGCACAGGGACTCCTCCTAACTCACTCTGTTAGGTCAGCATTACCCAAATAAAAGGCAAAAAAAGACAAAGGCATCATAAGAAAACTAGAGACCAATGTCTCTTGTGAACATAGATGCCAATCCTCAACAAAATATTTATATTTCAACCTATTCTTTGCACTACTTGTTTCTTGGATCAAGAGCAAACCAAGTTAGAAGGAAACTGGATCACCAGTCTGGATCAGATTCTGTGGTCTGGTCTGTTGAGGATGAACACCTTGTGCTCCTGCTGAGTCCTTCTCATAAGATGATCCCAGGTGGGCTCCAGTTGACAGGGGGCAAAGAAGTGTCAAGTGTGTGGTGTCAGGATGGAACAGACACTTCCCAGGCCTTATGTCTGCCTGTGAAGGGAAGCAGTTTGGGTTTCTCAGACTTTCCTGAGAGATGAACTTCTCTGGGACCTGCATGGCTGGGCTAGGTGGGTATGCATAGTGCCTGCCTCTGGGTCCTTGTCTTCTGAGTTATGAAATGAATAAAGGTACAGCCAAAAAACTTTCAGAAGGAAATGGATTCTTTTTGCTCTAGTGATCAAGAAAGCATAGTTGTGTCTGGAAGGACTGGTTAGATTATTTCATATAAGATTTAGGAGGAAATAATTTTTTTTTTCTTTTTGAGATGGAGTCTCGCCTGTCACTCAAGCTGGAGTGCAGTGGCCCGATCTCGGCTCATTGCAACCTCCGCCTCCCGGGTTCAAGCGATTCTCCTGCCTCAGCCTCTTGAGTAGCTGAGACTATAGGCATGCACCCCTATACCTGGCTAATTTTTGTATTTTTAGTAGAAACAGGATTTTACCATATTGGCCAGGCTTGTCTGGAACTCCTGACCTCGTGATCCTTCCACCTTGGCCTCACAAAGTGCTGGGATTACAGATGTGAGCCTCTACACACAGCAGGAGGGAGAATGAGTATCAGTCAAATCTTAATGGTAAAAAATCATAGGTGCATGTAAGGATGTAATTTTTCCAATGCTAAGGCCGTGCAGAGAGCTAAATAATCAGGCAAAATGTTTCCAAATGCTTATTCATTAGCCAGAATCCTAGACTTTTTACTATCCAGGGCTTCCCTCTAAGGGGCCTGGTTGTATTTCACAGAAGCTCATCATAAGTCAATGATCCTTTGAAGTCCACACAGAGTGAGTTGTTCCTGTCAGCATCCTCAACATTACAGCGTATATACAGCAATAACTTTTCTAATTAGTGAACTATGTCATCAAGGCCTATTGTCTGGGTAACCAGCATTGAAATTTTTACTATGATGATAATTATGCAATTTCCCCTTTTAATTATGCAATTTTCCCTTTTATCTGCACCTGTGCTTCAAAATCAGTGATCTCCATATTTTTCCATTTGGGATTTACCATAAGCAGACCTGTCTATGCTCATCCAGCCTGCTGAGCTCAGCCCTGCAGGCCTGAGACCACTGTCACACTCTTAGTTCAGATTCCTCTAATACCATTTAGTGTCTAAATGGTATTAATGGAGCAGCCCACTAGATTGACTCCTTGCTTCTAATCTTTTCTTTTTCTATCTCATTTGCCAGTGATATTTCAGAGAGTAAAATTTATGAAGCCATTCTTCTGCTTAAAAAGTCTTTACTGACTTCCCATTGCTATTAGGATAAAGTTGAAAGATAACGTAGCATTCAGTGCCCTCCATGAACCAGTGCATACCTACCCACCCACTTCATCCTCACTACTTCCTCACTCTTCTCTGCCCTACAAGTGCAGCCTCCAGAAATTTTTCCTTTGCTCCAATTTCTTGTCATCTGGATAACTTGCCTTCTCGCTTTCCTGGTCTCAATCTAGACCTTTTCTGTTGTTTTGTTTTATGTTTTAACAGGAAGACCTCTGCAATCACCCCTTACTCTATCTGTAATATTTACAACATTACTTTACAATTGCTTCATTGTCCATCATCCCTGCTGTGCAACCCAGAATTGTATCATATTCACTACAGAGTCTCTAGAACCATTCATTGTCACTGGTGCATACTAGACGCTCCATTGAGAATGCTTAACACCAATAGAAATTTTAGTTTGCTGTCATTGACATCTTTGGGGGTGTTTGCCTACCTTGCAAAATTTAAGACAGGATAGTTATTAAGGTAAAACTGATATTTCAAAAGGGCTTTGGATTATATGAACCTTCATAAAAACCTGAGGTTCTGTGTCAATGTGATTACCAATGGAAGAACAGAAAATTAACTTACTGAAAGAAGAGACAGGACTTATATTACTTCAAGGAAGTGAGATGATCAGCTACTATCATATTTTTTCTCCTCTTTCCCCTTCTTTACCTTATATATTTGTTTCTTCTTCTTTTGTATTATTGAGAAATTCTAGCAGCAGTGAGACCTACCCACAAGCTCAGATGACTAGGTTTAGAAAGTTGACTGGAGCCCTGTTGTATGTGTGAGAAGGAATAAGAAAAGTTTTTAATATGGAAATTTGAAGGTAACATTTGCACAGCTGAGGCACCTATCCTGACTCCTCAAAATTCATGTTAACATTTTCTTCTCTTTCATTGGTATTGGCTGAAGAGTCTGTCATTTCTTGGATTAACTATGTCTTTGATGTTTTATAAATTATCTCACACTTTATGTGCTTATTTTGTTTCTAAACATTAAAAAATGGGGTTTGTGAATTTTTCTGAGATTGGACATTTTTAATATGTTAAATGATACCTCTTACGCAGTAAAATTCCTCTCAAACTGAGTACTGTCAAGTAGTACCTGAAACTTACATTTTCCTTGCTAATAATAGTCTTTATTATGAACAACCATTTTTAACCCTATCAAGGCAAAACAAGAATTTGAGTTGTTATTTCTCCACTGAATTACCTCCAGCACTCAGAGAAAGACATTTTGTCCACATTTAGAAGGAATCATTTAGAATGATTCCTGCACAGAATCATTTTAATAAGCCTTGACAACAGCATCCTTCTCAGAATGTTGACTCATAATTACTGCATGTGGCTACACAAACAACCAAATTATTTTCAGTGAGTCTTCAAAGTGAAAATGCATTTTGTTTTAAATGCAAACACTACAACCTTTTACAAAATGTGGATAAATAAGAACCAGTTGTCCAAGGTAAGATATATGAATAGGTTGATGATTATAAATAATGCGACATACCCAAACAGTAAGTAGTACTTTCTTAAAGTTATCACCAGGATGTAAGAGTGGAGACTGAGACATTTTGGAAGGTTCTACTACAGCAGTAGCTAACTCCACTAATCATACTGCTGTGATAGAAAATTATCCCCACATCTCACACCCGATCCAACTCAACCACTCAGCCTCCTACGTGACAGCCGCAGTACATGTTACGTCATCTCCTTCCTGGTTGCCAGGGCAACATACATTATCCCTGTCATATCTGAGTTGGGTGAAGAACACATGAGGCAAAGCTTTTTCTCAAAGTGATGTTCACGAATCAAGTTGCCAGCTTTGATGTTACCCAGAGAATTTCCCTAATAGTTTATGCCAGGCCCCCTTCACCTCTTTATTCCTTAGACTATAAATCATAGGGTTCAGCAGGGGCATAACAATGACATAGAAGACAGAGATCAGCTTCTCCCGAAGGACTGAGGGACCAGAATGGGGCTGGATGTAAGTGAAAATGGTTGTGCCATAGCACAGGGCAACCACCGTGAGGTGAGAGGCACATGTGTGGAAGGCTTTCTTTCTTCCCTCTGTGGACTGAATCTTTAGGATGGTAGAGATGATCCAGATGTAGGACAAAAGAACCAGGCAGAAGTGTGTCATCAGAAGAAGAATACTAGACACCATGATGGTGACCTCATTTGAGGAGGTGTCCATGCAAGCCAGCCTGACCACTGCTAGGATTTCACAGGATATGTGATCAATAAATTTGTTTGTGCACACGGGCAGCTGAAAGGTGATGGTGGTATGCATGAAAGAGTTAATGGATCCACTGACCCAGGATATGATGGCCAACCTAGCACACAGCACTCTGTGCATGATGGCTGAGTATCGCAGGGGGTCACACACAGCCACATAGCGGTCATAGGCCATCCCTGCCAGGAGAACAAACTCAATCCCACCCAAGGCCAGGGAGAAAAATAACTGGGCTGCACAGCTCCGGAATGGGATGGCTTTATGTTCTGCAAGAAAATGCGCCAATAGCTGAGGGACTATGCTTATGGCATAGGAGACATCAACGAGGGAGAGGTTGGTGAGAAAGAAATACATGGGAGTATGGAGTCGGCTGTCCAGCCTGATCAGAAGAACAATGAGACAGTTCCCCAGCACTGTCATGAGGTATGTGACCAAGAACAAGGAAAACAGGGAGACCTGAGTGCACCAGTCACTAAATAAGCTAAGGAGAATAAATTCACTTGCCCAAGTCTGGTTATCTGTTTCCACTTAAAAATGTGAGGAATATTAATCTGAAAAAAGTCAGAAAAAAACAGAAGCTGTTGAATCCAAGAATCATAAGAATAACTCCTTAGGAATGCATACTGTATACAACATTCCAGCCTTGACCAAATAGTTTAGATAATTCATGAGGCCAAGATGACAGGCTTATTTTCAATATACAATATATTTACTTTGCATTAGAGAGACAGCAGTGCTTTCATAAGGACATAATGTAGACTTAAATAAGCCAGTTGAAGTCTGTGAATTATGCAGTGCAATTTTTGGAAGCTTTACCTCTTTACTAACTTACCTCAGTATCCAGGGCAGGTAGGTTTTTTTTCTGGTAATGTCAGCAAAAGGAAGATTAGAAAGTCCCAGACTCTACTGTTCTCCACAGAACATTCAACTAGCAACTATCCCCAGACCAGAATATCTTTTAAAATACCCCAACACTTGGACACTAACCTGAGACAACCACATGGTACATGGAATGAAAACCAAATTAGAAGACTAAGAAGCATAGTTTCACTACAACCCTGCCACCTTGCTCCCTGCCAAAGTCAACACAATACCAGACAAAGAGGGTTTTCCTGGGCCCATGTTTTTTACAGTAGAAAAGAAAAACTAGAGGCAGTCATTCAGCTTCTCTAGTATTCCAAGATGCTTCTCAGAAACCCAACTCTGGGCTTACCTCATGGAGAACACTGGGGATAATATAGTTAGACTACCTGGTGTCAGGTAGAAACAAAGAAAGGAGGCAGAGGTCATAGTGACCAGCACACAGATCATGGTGATATCTCTGTGTTCTTGCTAGCTATGGCGCCCAATCAGAGATACTGTTAGTTCATTTACAAAGCTAAGCTGATCATCTTCAGAAGCATGGTGGGAAGTTCAACCTAGCTTGAGTCCTTAGATAGCTAGTCCTCATGCCCAGTCTCAGAGTCCACACCAGTGACCCCTGCCAAGACAAGGAGATGCACACCTCCACCCATTCAGAAAGACACATGAGGTAGACCTGCTAGACCCTGGAAGTCAATCCATGGCTCTACTCAGCCAAAAAGCCTACTCAAGAACACCTACATGTCTTTCAGAGAAGTATGAGGGCTAGACCTGCTTGACCTGGGAGGTCAAACTCAACTCAGCCAAAAGCCCATCTTACAGGGAAGCAACTTTATAAGGAAGTTCCACCTTAAAAGGGAAGCAACCCTCAACTGTGCTTTTCTAAGGAGTGTAGCCTCTGGTCCCATTCATTCTAAGCAGCAACTTCACCTAACTTTGGAGTTCAGCCTACAGCCCTACCCAACAGCAAATCCCAAAAAGCACAATGTTCCAGCCAGGGAATAAATTCTGTGACAAGTATGACCAGAAGCCATTGCAGTACCCAGTCAGTAGCTCTGTGTGATAACAGAGCCCAGCCAGTGATCTTGCCAGGCAGCAGGTCCCAGTCAGTAGCCCCAGCCAGTATCAGAGCAAAGGCAGCATCCCAGCCAAGTAGAAAACCCACAGGTAGCTTTGCCTGCCCAAGGTCATTACCAGCTGGCTCTTGAAGAATTACAAGCTAGACTAAATAGTAAGCCCTGCCAAAGAACATCTGTAAAGGCCAGAAGGAAGGGACGTCTCTTCAAATGAAAACATAACAATGCAAAGACACAAGGATTACAAAGCATTGGGGAGTCATGACACATCCAAAAAAAACTAATAAAGCTCTAATAATGAACCCTGAAAAAAATGGATATGAAGTAACAAAGAATTCAGAATAATCTTCTTAAGTCAAAAAAAAGTACTGATGGAAATTAAATAAAATTTAGAAAAAAATACACAAACAAGATGAGAAGTTTGACAAAGAAACAGAAACAATAAAAAAGAACCAAATAGAAATCCTAGAGACAAAGAATAAAAAGGCTGGACTGAAAAAATTCAATTAAAAGTTTCAATGGCAGACTCAAGCAGAAGAAATATCAGCTAGCTGAAAGACAGAACATTTGAAATTAGCCAGTCAGAGGGGCAAACAGACAAAAGAATGAAAAAGAATGAAGAAAAGCTACACGAATTATGGGAGACCAAATTATGGGAGACAAGCCAGACTGACCACAGCTAGGAGTTAGAAAAAGGGAAAAAATCCATATTTAAAGAAATGACGGCTGCAAGATTCCCTAACCTGGAGACAGAACCAACATCCAGGTACAAGAAGTTCATATCTCCAATCAAATTCAACCCAAAAAGGAGTTCAACAAAACATAAAATAATCAAAACTCAAAAACAGAGAAAAGATTCTAAGAGGAGCAATAGATAAGAAACACATCACATGCAAAGGAATTTCAACACAACTCTTAACAGATTTTTCAGCAGAAATCCTGCAGGTCAGGAAAGGTTGGGTTGATATAGTCAGAGGACTGAAAGCAAAAACCTTGCCAATCAAGAATACTTTACCCAGAAAAATCTGCATTTCAGAAATGAAAAAGAAATAAAAACTTTCCCAGACACACAAAAGTGAAGGGAGCTCATCACCACTATGCCTGCCTTATAGGAGTTATTAAAGAAAGTTCTTTAATCTGAAATAAAATGTTGTGAATTAATAACATATAACTTAAAAAATACAAAATTCAGTAATATAAGTAAAACAGAGCCATACTCAGAATACTCTAGGACTGTAATGATGGTGTGTAAAGCAATTTTATCCCTAGTACGAGTATTAAAAGACAAAATTACTAATAATAACTACAACTAAAATAAATTATCAAAAGATACCCATTAAAAGTAATGGTAAATTCTGGGCCAGGCACAGTGGCTGATGCCTGTAATCCCAACACATTGGGAGGCCGAAGTGAACAAATCATTTGAACTCAGGAGTTCAAAACCAGCCTGGCCAACATGGTGAAACCTCATCTCTACTAAAAATACAAAAATTAGCTGGGCATGGTGGCAATGCCTATAATTCCAGCTACTCAGAAGGCTGATGCAGGAGAATTGCTTGAACCCGGGGAGGCAAAAGTTGCAGTGAGCCAAGGTCATACCATTGCACTCCAGCCTGGACAACAAGAGCAAAATATAGTATCAAAAAAGAAAAAAAGTAATGATAAATTTCAACATCAAAAACATAAAATGTGGCCAGAGGGACTGAAAGTGTAAAGTTACTGTATGCAATCAAAGTTAAGTTGTTATCAGCTCAAAACAGGCTGTTTTAACTATAAGACATTTTAGGTAAGCCTCTTGGTAACCACAAAGTGAAAATATTTAGTCAAGCACAAAACAAACTGAATTGATTCAAAACATACCCCTACAGAAAATCATCAAACCACAAAGTAAGACAGCAAGAGAGAGAAGAAAGAAAAAAAAAAAAAAAAAAAAAAAAAAAAAAAAAAAAAAAAAAAAAAAAAACTATAAAACAATTAACAAATGGTACTAGTAAGTCATTACCTATCAATAGTTACTTCAAATGAAAATGAATTAAATTCTCCAATAAAAAAAGACATAGAGTAGCTGAATGGATTTTAAAAAAAGAGAGACTCAACTATACACTGCCTAAAAGAGACTCTACTCACTTTTAAGGACACACATGGACTGAAATTGAAGAGATGAGAAAAGATATTTTGCACAAATAGAAAACAAAATACAGCAAGGGTAGCTCTACATATGTTAGAGAAATAGACTTTAAGTTAAAAACTGTAAAACAGACAAAGAAGTTTGGGTGCAGTGGCTCACACCTGTAATCCCAGCACTTTGGGAGGCTGAGGCCAGTGGATTACCTGAGGTCAGGAGTTCAAGACAAGCCTGGGCAACATGGTGAAATTCCATCTCTACTAAAAATACAAAAATTAGCTGGGTGTGGTGGTGCATGCCTGTAATCCCAGCTACTCAGGAGGGTGAGGCAGGAGAATTGCTTGAGCCTGGGAGGCAGAGGTTGCAGTGAGCCTAGAGTAAGCCATTGCACTATTGTACTCCAGCCTTGGTGACAGTGAGACTCCATCTCAAAAAAAGACAAAAAACAAACCAACAAAAAACAGACAAAGAAGAGCACTGTGTAATGATAAAAGGATCAGTTCAATTCATCAAGAGGGATATAAATATTGTACATATATATGCACCCAACACTGGAGCACCTAAATAAATAAAAACAAATATTAAAGGATCTGAAGTGAGAGATAGATGGCAACACAAATAGTAGGGGACTTCAATACACTACGTTCAACAGTGGATGAATCATTTCAACAGAAAATTAATGAGAAAAATTAGACTTGAAAAACACTTTAGACCAAATAGACCTAACAAACATAGACAGAGCATTCCATCCAACAGCAACAGAATATACCTTCTTTTCAAATGCACACTGAACATCCTTCCATATAGTATCCAGGGGAGGAAGGATGGTAGGCAAAATGATAAACAATGAAGATAAACATGGTTCAAAGCTCAAGGACTACCTGCATATGTCTACTACATCAAATGTGATGAAATGTATAAATAACTTACCAAGAGAGATTCAGAAGAGACAGATGTATAGTAACAATGAGGCCAGTGTCTCATGAAAAGATAGTATATTAGAGAATCTGGATGTGCATCTTGTTTTTTTATGACATACCAGATGTGTGATTTGGGTTATAAACTTAATTTTTTATATTCAAAATGGGATAATATGACATAACTCACTACGATATGCAAGTTCAAATATAGATAACTCATAGAGAAACCACTTCATAAACTGTTAAGTAGTAGTACTCTTATAGTACAGGTATTAGTGGTAATCTGACCTCTAACCCGCAGGAGACAAAGTAACAAATGAGTTTTCCCCTTATCTCCTCTCAAGTTCAGCCTTTTTTAAAAAGGAAGCAAAACTTTTAATAGATTTAAAGTCTTGGAGGTAACTTACACAATTTGAAGTTCCTGGGAACTTTGGGTCTTACTGAGGATTTAGGCTCTTTCAATCTTTGGTAAAAAAGGAAGGTGAGTGGTAATTATGTCTTGTTATTTCTATTTTTCTATTGTTCTGTTTACTTATTTCTACTCAGTCTTTTTATTTTTCTAAGAAAGCCTTTGCATATGGTCTCAGAAAAAAAGATGGTAGGGA